ATTATAGCATTATTTAATAGATGTATTACTACCAATCAAATTCCTAAACAATGGAAAGAGGGTAGAATCTTTTCAATTCCAAAAAACCCATTTTTGATAGAAACTTAACAAACACTAGACCTATAAGCTTACTCAAACACATTAAAAAATTATATACTAAACTACTTACCAACTACCTTAACTATATCTTCACTAAAAACTCTATCCTTTCTCCTTACAATTATATTACACTTCCTGGTAATAGTATCGCTATATCTATACATATTCTTAATAACATTATTGAAGATGCTTTATATAACTCTAAAGAACTCTGGCTCATATCTTAGAATATGAGCAAGGCATACGACTCTGTCAACCTAGACCTTTTTAAAAGATCTCTTATACACATCTGCATGCCTTCCAAACTTATTAATATACTTACTAACCTCTTTGCAGACCAACATAACAAAGTAATCACAAATCTAGGTCTTACCAAGAATTACCAGATTAAAAATGATATAGACCAAAGAGAGACTATAACTCTACTATTTTTGAGAATCTACTATAATCCTCTAATTTATAAAGTCGTATCCTGTTATACAGAATACACCTTATTGACAACCTGGCATACAAACTTATACTCTACATCCAAACAATACACTCAAGCCTCAACATCTGTACTGGCATATATGGATGACACACTATGAATTGCTCAGAACAAAGCAGAAATAGAACGAATTACACAAACTGCTATGTCATTTTACCAGATGGCCAATTTACAAATCAATCCACCCTATAAAAAATAATTGTGTAATATTTGTATTTAAATATATATACTATTTGTGTACAAAAATATATACTATTTGTGCAAATTTACATATAATAAATATCTAAAAAAGTGTCATTTTGTTTAATATTTGTCTTATACTTTTTATTAATAAAATGTATCATTTTTAGTTAAATACAATCATTAAAATATTTACAAAATATGTAATTATTGTTTAAAATACAGCTTTTATTTATTTAAATTTCCTTTATACAATATGATATTTATTTATTTAATGTTTATTTAATATACTTCTTTTATTTAATTTTTATTTATAAATTATTTAAATGTTATATAATATTTGTAATTACTGCTAGAAAGGAGTAAGTGAAAATAATCGCATTCTTTTATTTAATAATTTTACAAGCGGTTCTTAGATCTCAGAACTCTAAAAGGTACAGGATTACCTATATAATAGATTTGTTATATATATATTACGAAGATTCAATACGAAGCTGAAATTAGTCAGTGTTATCCAATATTCTTATTTATATATACCTTTTGGTGAAGCACTATGTCTATTCTTTGAAATCTCTTTTCGCTGATTATCCATTATGTTGTTAGAAGTTTCAGGAGTTACATTTTCAGAAGTTACATATTCAAGAGTTATATTTTCAGAAGCTATATTGGTAATTGGTAATTTTTTGGTGAGCTTTGTCTTTGGCTTTAACATATTAATCATGTCTTCTCTAAATCGTAATGCAATTGAGGTCTCTGGTTTATTATTAATAACAGTTTGACAGTTTGTGCCAGTATTTATGATTTAATTTATTTGACATTAGTAAAATCGAATATAATTTTCAAAATAAAAATAGATTTAATAATTTAAATTACCTTCAATACTTTCTGTCGTTGCTGATTCAGAACCACACCTTTGATTTAAATCATTATCAGATGAAATATCTATAGAAGGTTAGTAGTAAAGACAAAATATAAATTTCATAATATATAATTATTATTATTTATCATGGTACCCATTGTCTCTTTTTCTACAATTCGAGTATAATTTTTGCTTCTTACAGCATTGTGTTCTTTTTTATCTATATTTTAAAGCATAAAATTGAGTAAGTAAAGGTTTATAAAATTATTTAATAATGCTAAATATACGTACGCTGTTGATTAATTGAATGGCGCATCATCATTTTAATTGCCCAATCGTTGATGCAATTTGGGAAGTCAGGGTTATATGCTTTATACTGTTAAATATACAGTAAAATTGAAAAGATTAATGAACATTAATTCTTATTTGAAACAAAAACAATTTTACCTTTTTAACTAATAATCGCTTTTTAGTCACACTCAACTTGCGATACTCAGACGTATTGGAAGTCCATATTTGGGCTATAAATTCATACATAGCACTCTAAAAAAAAAAACTTTACATATCTAAAAAAATAAACAATAAAGCTGTGTATGAAACAAATGAGACAATAGTACTCTATATGATGCATAAACTTAATCCTCAATCGATAATATTTTCAACAGCTTATATCATCTTAGATTTGGAGTTTAGCAATTGGTGTTTTTGTAGATAATTTCTAAAAAAAAATATATAAATTTATATATTATATAATATATACATTATATATATATATTATAAATATTATATATAATGTATATATTATATGGAGGACCAGTATAATGACGGTCAGACCAAATGCACATGGCAGACTATGGAATTCTTCACAGCTGTGAGAGCCGAGCATAAAACGTTGAGTGCCCCTACAGAAGAAATTCTATCCAAATCATCATCAACACCACTAGACTCCTATGATTTGGATATATGTTACAACAG